ACAGAAGTGCTAGACAGATCTTCTAGGTTTACTGAATTATAGAGACAACATTTTTTGCTCATTTCAGCACCATGATACTGAAAGACATGGAGTGACCTAGAGAAATGTGACAAAGGTTCTCTGTACCGCCTTACTTAGGACAGAAGGCGGGAGCAGAGAGAACAGCCCCTTGGACAAGATTTGGGGAGAGGTCACACATACTGAATTGCAAAAATGTCTTTATATAATTTAAGAATGGCTCCCATTTATATAAATGCTTTTCTTACAGCAACCTCAGAGGGAGCTGATGCAAGTGTTATTATCCCCATTTAAGAGATTAGGAAACTGAGACTCAGAGAGTTAAAGCAATTTGGCCAGGATCACAGAGGTAGTTTAATAGTTGGGGTATGAGCTAGCTAGAGCATACAGCCAGCAAGTACTGGAGCCAAAATCTTATCCCAGATCTCTAAGCTTCTCAATCTAAGATGCAGGCTGGCAGTTCTTGGCATATTAATTGCATTTAATCAATGCATGTTGATCAATAGACTTCTTTCTGTTTCATCACAATGACTGCAAAAACTGGGGGAAAAAATTAACTAAAGCAAATTAAGGGAGTTGGATGTGTGCATTAACTTCACGAATAGCACAATGTCTGGCGTACCAAAGACTATCCATTTTCCTGGGTACCATGCAACAGTGGCTTTCAAAGTATGATCTGGGGATTCCCAGGTTATCACATTTCACAGACCCACAGACTCTCAGAGCTTCGAGCTTAGATCTCAGAGACCATTCAGTCTAACTCCCTCCCTTTACCAGAGCGCTGCTTCCTGTAGTATTTGTGGGGACAGGGAGGTGTTGTGGAAAGTGCACAGGAGGAAAGATTGACAGAACACCTACCAGAGAGGCAAGAGAGGGGATTCCGCCTGCGTGGGTTGAAGGGCTGGCCTATATGGTGCAGGGCAGGAGTTCTTCTTAATGTGGAGTATGAGAGGTTTTTTATTATACTATATATACATATATTGACGTTATTTCAGTATGATTGGTTTCCGTTGTAGTCCTACGTATTTTATTTTATTCATTTAAAAACATGATTCTAAGAAGGGGTCCATGGGCTTCACCAGACAGCCAGAGGGACCTATGACACAAAAGAGCTAAAGAACCCCTGATGTAGACGGTCACCTTCCAGTTCAAAGATTTCTCTGAACTAGCAACACTATTAATTTGCCATTTGGTTGTGGGAAAATGATTCAACCTTATCTGGACTCAATACCTTCATATAATAAAATGGGAGATCTGTCCCACAGGACTGTTTTGAGGATCAAACGAAGCTAACAGATATAGAAGCACACTGCATTAAGCACTATACAAAATCAAAGTGTTACGTTTATTGTACACTCCTCCACTCAAAGCCTCATCACACTGAGGAGCTAACTTTAAGGAGAGTGACACTGATGGGTCCCTGCCTGGTGACCACCTGTATGTCTTCTGTTTAAGGACTGGTCTAATTCTTCAACAGATTGGCTGCTGTTAGGAAGGGAGTATGGAGGGAAGGATGAATTTTTCAGCTAGGGCAGCTTTCTAGGATTTGGATAGGGATCAGCATCATTCAATCAATAAGTACATGTTATTCAGTTGTTTCAAACGTGTCCAACTCTTTGTGATCCCATTTGGGATTTTCTTGGCAAAGATACTAGAGTGGTTTGCCATTTCCTTCCCTAGTTCATTTTTATAGATGAGGAACTGAGGCAAACAGGATTAAATTATTTGCCCAGGGTCACACAGCTAGCAACACATTAAGCATACGCCAGGCACTTAGGGATACAAGTACAAGGAATGAAACAATTTTTCCTTGCAAGAAGTATACATTGTAATGGGGGAGGCAACCGGTACATATATACCACATCTACAAAGCTAATAGGCAGCCGGATGGCTCAGTGGATAGAGTGCTGAGCCTGGAGTCAAGAAAACTCCTCTTCCTGAGTTCAAATCTGGCTTCACACACTCCTGAACAAGTTATTTCACCCTGTTTGCCTCAATTTCCTCATCTGTAAAATAAGCTAGAGAAGGAAACACCAAGCCACTCTGGTATCTTTGCCAAGAAAGTCCCAAAAGGTGTCAAGTTGGTCATGACTGAAAAATAACTGAACAAAAATAAAGCTAATAAATACAAAATTACAAAGTAGTTCAGTAAAGATAGTTTGGGAAGGAAGGTGCTAGCAGTTGAGAGAAACAAGAAAGGCTTGATAGAAAAAAGATAATGCCTGGGCTACATCCTAAAAGACTCTTTGAGGCAGAGGTAAGGAGGCAGTGCATTCCAGGTATGGAGGCAGCCAGGACAGAGATACCCAGAGAAGAGATGCAGCATCTTGTGTCTAGAGGAGAGAGAAGGCTAGTTTGGCTGGATTGCAGAGGGCCAGTGAAAGGTAGGCTGGAACCAGGTTGTGTAAGACTTTAAATGCTAAATAGAGGAGTTTTTTTTTGTCCTGGAGCCATTTGGAAGCCACTGGAGTGGGTGGAGCAAGGGAGTCATATGGCCAGATGTGCCCTTAGGGGAAATCCTTGGCAGCCATGGATATGATGGACTTAAAGAAAGGAGATCAATTAAAAGGCTGTGGCTATAATCTAAGTGGTAGGTGATGAGGACCTGAACTCAAGTGGTAGCTGTATGAGTGAATTGAAAAGTCATATTCCAGGGATGTTGTGAAGGTAGAAAGCAAGATTTGGCAACTGACTGTATTTTACAGGATGAGGGAGAGTGAAGAGTCCAGAAAAATGCTGGGTGAGCATCCATATTGACCAAATTACAGATCCTTGGAGGACTGAAGAAGGATCATAATTTTTCTTCATTGTTTCAAGCTTGAGTGCCTGCTTAAGACACTTCAATGAAAATCAGAAATAATGGAGATCAATCCTCTCAGAAGTGTCAAAATTTACCCCATTCATTAGAGGATCAAAGAAAATCATGGGATATATAAGAGCTAGGAAGGATCTCAGATAAGGAAAATGAGGACCAGAGAAAGGACATGACTTGGCCAAGGTCAAGGTCTAACAGCTGTTAGAGGCATAGTCCAGACTAGAGCCCTGGGTCTCATAAGATCTTGGATCTTGGACAATGGCCAATTTTTACTCCAGAGGACTGATGCTAAAGAACCTATCTCCCTCCTATTGGTAGCAAGGTGGTGAACTGCAGTTGCAGAATGAGCCACAGGCTGTGAGACATGGTCAATGTGTCAATCTCTTTTGCTCAACTATACTACTGTGATACAAAATAGGTTTTAGGGGAGTAGGGAATATTGGGAAGTTAGTGATTTTCAAAGCATCAAGAAAGCTTAAAAAAAAAAAAAAAACACCTTGGCCCTTTAACATCCCAGTTCAGGACTTTTGTTTTGGAAAGTTTATCTTTTTAAAACTTTTGGTGACAAACTTGCATCCTTCTTCTTTACATTACTCCGGTCTTAAGTCAAATCTCCCTGAGTAACTCAAATTTTCTTTTGGTTAGGAGTAAGGGGGAAGGGGCACAAAACAATGGAAAAGACCTGCCCCAGTGCAATTTGAGGCACTAAACAGGAGCTTGGTGGCCAAACTCAATCCTTAATATTAAACATCTTAACCTCCCACTTCAGCCTGCAGAGGACTTCACAGTTTCCTAGAAAACAAATAAGTGATGGAATAAGCACCAAGGTTCTGTAAATCTCATTGTGCCTCCTTGTATTTGGGGAGAAAGTGAAGGTAAATGATAAGAACCATCCCATAGGCAGCATAGCATCCTTGGATCTACATGTCTAGTGAACACAACTGAGTCAGCTCTACGTGCCTTGGGTTTCCCCATCTGTTAAATGAGGGGGTTGAACCAGACTAGATAATCTCCAAGGTGCCTCCCAGCTAAAACATTCAATGGCCTAAAGTCCTTTTTAGAGCAGGGAAAAACCTTGGAGATTATCTAGCCTGGTCCTATACCCTCACTTAACAGATGGGGAAACCCAAGAGGAGCACCCAGGCAACTAACTTGCAACTGAATTTACTAGAGAAGGGGCTTCCAGCAAAACAGGGCTGAAACACAAAAGATGTGTCAAGATTTTTCTACTACTGATAGTACAACGGATACACACTCCAAATTCCAATGTTAAGCTTTTACTATTTAAATGCAATCAGGATTTTTTTTTTCTGGAAAACACTAGAGGAAAGCCTGGTCATAGGAATATAGATTTGTTGCTGGAAGACATCTCAAAGGTCAACAAGTCTAACCTACTTATTTTATATATGAGGAAACTAAGGCACAGAAAATCAAGTGACTTGTCCAGAGTCACACAGCTAGTAGTTCAACCTTTTTTTTATTATTTAATTTATTTTTTTTTTAGCAATGGGAAAACTAGAGCCCGTGCTGATAACAAAGTGTGCAAAGTGGTCTGGGAATCTGCCACTAAACTTATTAAGAGATGACATCAATTAACTTCTCTGGCCTTAGCCCAGTGCCCAACACAAAGTCTTTGTTGAATAAATGCTTGTTGATTGATCAGGCCTCAGTTTCCTCCCCTATAAAATGTTGGGCTACTTGATCTACCTACAGGGTTCAACTATGACAGTGTCAGCAATCTAGATCTTGAAGGCACCAAAGATGGTCCAACAAAAACCTGAACAGGAAACCCCTCCACGAAGTCCCCTACTTAAAGCAGAACACCTCTGGCGATTAGTGGTTCCTTCCACCTTGGCACTGCGAGAACTGCACCTATAGAACCACAGAATCTCAGAGGGCATCTAGTCCAACCTGTATGTGAGCAGGAATCCCCTCTATGGCATTCCTAACAAGTATATCAGCCTCTTCTTGAACACCTCCAGTGATAGAGAGCTTACTACCTTAGGAGGCAACACACCGTCAATGAACTGGGCCAGCTCTAATCGTTTCCCATCAGTGAGCTGTGGCTCTCAGCCGTCCCGGGAAAGCTGGACAGAGTTGGGGGCAGGGAGGGTGGGGACCAGGGCGGGGTGGGGGGGTGGGGGAGTTAGGGAGCGAGCCTTCTTACCTGTCCCAGTCCCTCCTCCCGGGCGCGAGCGCTGCTCTCCTGCTCTTGGAGCTGCTCCTTGAGGTGGGCCACCTGCTCCACCAGCCCGTCCACGAGGGACGGCGCGGGCCCGGGCCCCACTTCGGACCCGGAGCTTTCGTAAGCGGCCAGACTGGCCCGTAGGCGTGCCACCAGGGCGTCTCGGGAGGCCAGCTGGCCCCGCAGGAAGCTCAGCTGCTGCACCGCCTCGTGGTAGAGGCCGCAGAGCGCGGCTGCACGCGGAGCCTGCTCCCGGAGCCTCCGGTTCTCGCGCTGCAGCCGCTCCACCGCCTCCTCCAGCTGCTCGGCCGAGGCCGCCTCCCCGCCCCCGGGCCCGGGCCGGGAGCCCTTAGCGCTGGCCCCGGAATCTTCCGTGCGGAGGGACGCCATGGCGGCAGGGAGCCGACCTGAGCTCGGAGCTCAGGAGAGGCCCCGGCCCTGGAGTCCACTGGAGGCCAAGAGGCGTCTCCGGGCTGACAGTCCCTGCAGGGGGCCGGACTCAGACTCCGCGGGAGGCCAGGAAGAAGCTCTGGGCCCGGAATCCCGGCAGGAGGCCAAGCAAGGGGAGGCTCCGCGATGAGAGTCCTTGCAGAGGCTCCGGGAAGGCAGTGCTTGCAGGGAGCCCGGCTCAGGGTCCTTGCAGCAGGCCAGGGAGGAGCTCTGGGATGATGGTCTTTGCAGGAAGCCCGGCTCGGGCTCCCCAGGAGGCTCCGGGATGAGAGATCTTGCAGGAAGCCTGACTTAGACTCCGGAGAAGCCGAAGAAGGGGCTCCGGGCTTAGGAACCGCGGAGGCCAAGGAGGCCCTCTGGGATAAAGTCCTTGCAGGGAGCTGGCTTCAGAGTCCTTGCAGGAGGCCAAGGAGGAGCTGCGGGTTCAGGGTCCCGGCAGGGAGCTGCATCAGTGTCCGCTGGAGGTTCGGGGTTCAGCAGCCCCAAAGGGAGCTCCCGGGGCTAAAGGCCTTCGGAGGGCTCCGTGCTGAAGGTGGAAGCCGAGGAGGTGAGTTTAGGGTCACATGGGAGCCCCGCTGGCCTGGGGCTACGGCCGGAGGTGGGAGCTCCTGGGGGGCTCAGAGGAGGGGCGGGGGCCCTGCACCTCAAGATGCTTTTAAGCAGCTTCTAGGAAGTTGGGGCTAGGACTAGGCAAGCCCGAAGGGGGAGGAGGCTGGGGAGGGCCCAGGCAGCGCGGGGCGGGGAGAGCACACACCAACGGGAATTTCCTGCTGGGGCTCTCCCCGAGCATTCCCTGGGACTTTTCCTCCTGCGCCGGAGCCTGGCCTACCCTTCGCCGTTTTTCCGGGGCAGGGACCAGAGGGGTAGGGCGGTTGCTTAGGCCAGCGCAGTATGGTCCTGCGCAGGCACAGAAGGAAGGAGAGCTCGGCCAGGGCAGCTGTCCCCGGTAGCTGCGCTCTCCCAGGCTTTGAGTCTATGCTTTCCACCAGCCTGGGAACTCTTGAGGTCTGGGGTCTGGCGCTTCCTTTTGTCTCCCCAGCTCTGCCTCCTAGCATTTAGAACTGGAGGGCCTTGGAGATCAGATAGGCCATTTTAGAGAAGAAACTGAAACTCAAAGTAGGGGAAGTGACCTGCCCAAAGTCATACAACCCGTGAGTAAATTACTGAAATTCAAACCCAGATCATTTGACTACAAATCCAAGTACTCTTTTCACCAAACCAAAGTATTTCTTATCATATATTCCAACACCCTCAGTTTAAAAGACAGGATCTGTTAGTAGTGGAATGAGCCAGGGTAATACCTGGTTTCGAGTTCCAGTTAACTTCCCCTCTCTATTAAGGTCTATGATCCTATGAGGTGATGGACTCAGAGTGCAGATGAAGACATCTTTTTGGACAAGGCCAACGTGGGAATTTGTTTTGCTTGCCTATACATGTTTGTAACAGGGGATTTTACTTTTCTTGCTTGCCGGATCTTTGAAAAATGTTTAACCAAAAAATAAAAGGTCTATGACTCTATAAAGTAAAAGCAGTAGTGCCGGATTTGGATCAGGACCTCGGACTTGGGATCAGAGGACTTGAGTTCTAAGACCAACTTGGACAATTCACCTTTGACCTTAGTCAAGAGACTTTCCATTTCTGGGTCTCAGTTCCCTCATCTGTAAAATGAGAGAGTTGGACTAGGAAGTGACAATCGTGCTATACTTCTGCCCTGATTAGACCACAACTAGAATATTCTGTTCAGTTCTGGGGGTCACATTTGAGGAAGGATGTTGACAATCCAGAGAGCTCCAGAAGTAAACATCCAGGATGGTGAAGAGCTTCAAACCCATACCATAAAAGGGTCCACTGAAACTAGGAGTGTTTAGCCAAGAGGTGAAGAGACACAGAGAAGGCCTGATGATTGTCTTCAGATATATGAAGGCATGTAGTTTTGAAGAGAGATTATGCTTCACTCAGGGTTTCAAGTCAAGTGTTTATTAAGCATCTCCTAAATTACAGGCAAGACTGCTAGATGACACAGTAGATAGAGTACTGGGTCTGGAGTCAGGAAGATTCATCTTTCTAAGTTCAGATCTGGCCTGAGACACTTACTAGCTATATGACCCTGGGCAAGTCATTTCCCCTCTATTTGCCTCAGTTTCCTCATCTGTAAAATGAGCTGGAGAAGAAAATGGCAAACCACTCCAATATATTTGCAAAAAAAAGCAAAAACAAAAACAAAAAAAACCAAATGGGGTCACAAACAGTAGAAGCCAATTTAGGCTGGTTGGGAGAGCAAACTTTCTAACAATTACAGTAATTACTGTATGGAAAAGTAGTATGGGCTGCCTCAGGAGGAAGAATGCCTCCTTTCACTGGAGGTCATTAATAAAACTCTCATAGGAGGGACACTTATTTAGGTAATGGTTAGATTAGATGATGTGAGATTTCTTCCAGTTCTCCGAGTCCGGGATTGTGTGACAAGATGCTCTGCAGTTTCTTCAAGATCTAAGTGCCATTATTCAATGAATATATGATAGTCAAAAATATGCATTAGTATATGCTAGTTTGCAAATGAACGATATAAGATAAAACTAAAAGAGCTCAGAGGAGAGACTTCCTTTCCCACTTTCCACACTTCCTTCCTCCACAGGTCTCAGTGCCTTCTACAGTCTTGCATCAATTTGGGGAGTTTTTGTGTTGTTGGCTTTTTGTTTTTAATTTGTGAGAGTGCCTCTTGTTGCAATTCCCATGAAAAAGCCAAGGAATCATAGACTAGATGAGACCTTAGGGATTATCTAGGTCTACCCCCTTTCATTTTACAGGGAAACACTCAAATATGGGAAGCATCCAAGGTTATAAAGCTAATGAGCCAGGGTCAGAGTGCTAGTATCCTAGTTCCCAGGCCAGTGTCCATTTAAAATCATTAAAAAGTGACCTTGCCTCAGTTTCAGTTTTGTTTCAGTTTTGCAGATGTATGTCTTATCTCCCCTAAGTAGATATCTGTAAGTTCCTAGAAGGCAGAACTATATCTTAATGTATCATTTCATTAGTGTAGGGCTAAGCACCTAGTAATTGTTCTGCAAGAATATGTTGGATTTATCCTTTTACGCAAATAGTAAGTTGTCAAAATGGATAGGGATCTGAAATTAAAAGGTCATATTGTAAAAAATTAGAAGAGAAAGAGATCGGGTACTTTCCCAGGGAAAATATTCTTAACTAAACAAAGGATAGGGATCATCGCAAAAGATAAAATAGACAATTTTGATTACATAAAATTAAAAAGCTTTGACATAAAATCAATGCAATAATGATAAGACCAGAATAATTTAATTAGGAAAAAATATTTGTGTCAGATATCTGATACCTAAGATATATAGTGAATTAACACAAAGAAGACCAAGAGTCATTCCCCAATGTATAAGTGGCTAAAAGATACGGGTAAACAATTCTCCAAAGAATTGAATACTACAGCATGAAAGATTACTCCTGAGCACTGCTGACGAAAACCCATATCAGCACAACTCTGAAGTGTATCCATACATCTAGTAAAGATGACAAAAGGTGGTGTAACACCTGTTCTACTAGGATCTCCCACAAAGGCTACAGATAACTGACACTGTATCTTTAAGAACCAAATGAAATAGCAGGTGGAGAGGGAGCAGATGGGACTGGCAATTTGGTTTTACAGTTGCAACTGTCATTCTTCTCTGCAGCAAATTGACCACCCTCATTTATAGGTCACCCTTCAGTCTGCTACTTGACTTATTCTCATTCTCTTAATCTTACCTTGAGCTCTAGAATAATTCAGAATTATTTGTATATTTTCTTATTAAATAATAAAATTATAATGTCTTAGCGATCATCCCTACTGTGGTTTATTAAATATTATTTTATAAAATAAATGTTTATTGATATCCTTTGTTTTTCCTACCTACAATAGAGCCATTCCATATAACAATATTTTTGTTAAATGTTATTTAACAAGCCGGAGAAACTTCATTTTCCAATAGTAATTACTCACTTCTATATTAAGTCCTTTAATCTTCTATGATTAAATATTAACAGTATGTAATTTATTAACAAATTAAATCAATAATAAAACAAAGTCACAATTATTCACAGTATTTTAGCTGTTTGAAAGATCACAGCTAGAGTTACCTCAAACCCTTCCTATAATGACACATGAAGTTTATTTATGAAAACACAATCCCACTATTCCATTCACTCATGATATCAGCACATCTCTCAAGAATCCTCTTCATATTTGTCCTCGAGGTAAGAGTTCAATTCAGCCAGGAATTAAGTTAGTCCTTTTTCTTTCTCCTCTAAGCAACCATCATAGGTAAATCTCTCCAGAATGTACTATAAATTGTCAATTCCTCACAGTCTCTTCACAGAATTATCTTATGATGATCACCAAATAACAGTTTTGCTTTTGTCCAGTGCCTGGCAATGGATATAATCAATGTTAATTTATTGATTCTCACAAGAAAGATTTTCTATCTTCTCCATATTTTGTCTTATGGAGTCTCATAGATCACACACACACACACATACACACACACACACACACACATCAAAGACACATACACACACCCTCACACTTCATACAAAGACCTCAAAGAATGACAGTTGTAATTGTAAAACCAACTGACCATTCCCAAATACTTTCCTTCCCTTCCCACCCCACCTACCCAATAATCCATTTGGTTCTAAAAGATACAGTGACAACTTCTATAATCTCTTCAGGGGAGTATAATGAAATAGGTGTTAAAATGGAAACAGCCAATTGGAAGGCCTGTGGAAATATGGTTACAGTGATAGCACCATTTATGTAGCTGTGAACTGGTGCCCCTGGAAAGCAATTTGGAACCATGCTGAAAAAGTGGCAATGATGTTCATACTCTTTGATCTAAAGATCTCACTGCTAAGCATATACCCCCAAGGAATTCAAAGAAAG